ATTTGTTTAAACATGGATCCTTGCCCCATTGCTTGTTTTTGTCAGGTTTATCAAAGATTGTATAGTTGTAGGTATGTTGTGGTTGCCTCCGGTTGCCTCTGTTTTGTTCCATTGGCTATATCTCTGTTTTGGTACCAGTACCATGCTGTTTTGATTACTGTATCCTTGTAGTATAGTTTGAAATCCGGTAGTGTGATGCCCCCCGCTGTGTTCTTTTTGCTTAGAATTGACTTGGCTATGCGGGCTCTCTTTTGGTTCCATATGAAGTTTTCATGGTGGTTTTTTTTCCAGTTCTGTGAAGAAAGTCGATGTAGCTTGATGGGGATAGCGTTGATTCTGTAAATTACTTTGGGCAGTATAGCCATTTTCACGATGTTAATTCTTCCTAACCATGAACATGGAATGTTTCTCCATCTGTTTGTGTCCTCTCTGATTTCGTTGAGCATTGTTTTTGTAGTTCTCCTTGAAGGAGGTCTCTACATTCCTTGTGAGTTGTATTCCCAGGTATTTTATTCTTTTTGTAGCAATTGCGAATGGCAGTTCGCTCTTGATTTGGCTTTCTTTAAGTCTGTTATTGTTGTAGACGAATGCTTGTGATTTTTGCACATTGATTTTGTATCCTGAGACTTTGCTGAAGTTGCTTATCAGGTTTCAGGAGTTTTTTGGGCGAGGCAATAGGGTCTTCTAGGTATACTATCATGTCGTCTACAAATAGAGACAATTTGGCTTCCACCTTTCCTATTTGATACCCTTTATTTCTTTTTCTTGCCTGATTGCTCTGGCTAGAACTTCCAGTACTATATTGAATAGGAGTGGTGAGAGAGGGCATCCTTGTCTAGTGCCAGATTTCAAAGGGAATGCTTCCATTTTTGCCCATTCAGTATGATATTGGCTTTGTTGGTTTGTCATAATAGCTTTTATTACTTTGAGATACGTTTTCCATCGATACCGAGTTTATTGAGGGTTTTTAGCATAAAGGGCTGTTGAATTTTGTCAAATGCCTTCTCTGCGTCAATTGAGATAACATGTGGTTTTTGTTTTTGGTTCTGTTTATGTGGTGAATTACATTTATAGACTTGCGTATGTTGAACCAGCCTTGCATCCTCCCCGGGATGAATCCTACTTGATCATGATGAATAAGTTTTTTGATTTGCTGTTGCAATCGGCTTGCCAATATTATTGAAGATTTTTGCATCTATGTTCATCATGATATTGGCCTGAAGTTTTCTTTACTCGTTGGGTCTCTGCCGGGTTTTGGTATCAGAATGATGTTGGTCTCATAAAAATGATTTGGGAAGGATTCCCTCTTTTTGGATTGTTTGAAATAGTTTTAGAAGAAATGGTTGCCAGCTCTTCCTTGTGTGTCCTGGTAGAATTCGGCTGTGAACCCGTCTGGACCTGGGCTTTTTTTGTGTGGTAGGCTCTTAATTGCTGCCTCAACTTCAGACCTTGTTATGGTCTATTTCATAGTTTCAGCTTCCTCCTGGTTTAGGCTTGGGAGGACACAGGAATCCAGGAATTTGTCCATTCTTCTTCCAGGTTTACTAGTTTATGCGCATAGAGTTGTTTGTAATATTCTCTGATGATGGTTTGAATTTCTATGGAATCTGTGGTGATTTCCCCTTTAATCATTTTTTATTGCATCTATTTGGTTGTTCTCTCTTTTTATTTTTAATCAATCTTGGCTAGTCTGTCCTATTTTGTTGATCTTATCAAAAACCAGCTCTTGGATTTATTGATTTTTTGAAGGGTTTTGCGTTTAGTCTCAATCTCCTTCAGACTCAGCGTCTGATCTTAGTTATTTCTTGTCTTCTGCTGGGTTTTGAGTTTTGTTGATCTTGCTCCTCTAGCTCTTTCAATTTTTGACGATAGGGTGTCAATTTTGGATCTCTCCATTCTCCTCATATGGGCACTTATTGGCTATATACTTTCCTCTAGACTGCTTTATATGTGTCCCCAGAGGTCTGGCACGTTGTGTCTTCGTCTCATTGGTTTCGAAGAACTTCTTGATTTCTGCCTTCATCATTCATTGGTTTACACAGTCACCATTCAAGAGACGTTGTTCAGTTTCCATGACGCTGTGGTTCTGGGGTCTGTTCTGAATTCTGAGTTCTAACTTGCGATTGCACTATGGTCTCATGAGAGGCTGTTGTTATGATTCAAGTTGTTTGCATTTGTTGAAGCATGCTTTTCCTTCCATTTATGTGGTCATTTTAGAGATGGCTTGTGATGTGGTTGTGAAATAATGTGTATTCTGTGAAAATTGGGGTGGAGATTTTCTGTAAATGTTATCAGGTTGCTTGCTCCAGGTCTGAGTGTCAAGCCCTGGATATCCCTTGTTGATTTTTTGTCTGGTAGATCTGTCTAGTATTGACAGTGAGTGTTAAAGTCTCCCCCTATTATTGGTGGGATTGTGGGATGTCTAAGTCCTTTTGTAAGTCAATTAAGAACTTTGCTCTTATATATCTGGGTCTCCTGCATTGGGTCATATATGTTTAGGATCGTTAGCCTCTCTGTCTTGTTGTATCGCTCCTTTTACCCATTATTGTAATGGCCTTCTTTGTCTCTTTGATCTTTGTTGCTTTAAAGTCTATTTTATCAGAAGATGAGAGATCCTGCAACTCCTGCTTTTTTTTTGCTTTCCATTAGCTTGTAAATCTTCCTCCATCCCTTTATTTTGAGCCTTGTGTATCCTTGCATGTGAGATGGAGTTGCCCTGGATACAGCACAATGATGTTTTTGGATTTTTATCCAATTTGCCAGTTCCTGTGTCTTTGATTGGTGCATTTTAGTCCATTTACATTTAGGGGTTAATATTGTTATGTGTGGAATTTGATACTGCCATTTGATGCTAAGTGGCTGTTTTGCCTGTTGTTGTTGTAGATCTTCATGATGTTGAAGCTCTTTAGCATTCCGTGTGATTTTTGGAATGCTGGTACTGATCTGATCCTTCTATGTGTAGTGCCTCTTTTAGGAGCTCTTGTAAGAGCATGCCTGGTGGTGACACAAATCTACTGAGTACTCTTGTTCACAAAGGATTTTTATTTTTGCCTTCACTTCTGAAGCTCAGTTTGGCTGGATATGAATTCTGGGTTGAAGTTCTTTTTCTTTAAGAATGGTTGAATATTGGCCCCCACTCTCTTCTGCTTGTAGTTTGTTTCGGCCGAGAGATCTGCGCTGTGAGTCTGATGCTTCGCCTTTGTGGGTGACCTACCTTTCTCTCTGGCTGCCCTTTGTATTCTCTCCTTTATTTCACAACCCTATTGACTCTGACTGACGATTATGGGGGTGCCTTGGGGTTGCTCTTCATTGCGGAATATCTTGTGGTGTTCTCTCGGAATTTGCCTGCAACTTGAGTGTTGGCCTTGTCTTGCTAGGTGGGGGAAATTTCCCATGATGATGTCGTGAAGAGTATTTTTCCAGCTTGGATTCATTCTCTTTCGTCCCCTTCTGGTACACCTATCAAACGTAGGTAGGTCTTTTCACATAGTCCCACATTCTTGGAGACTTGTTCATTCCTTTTTGCATTTTTTTCTCTAATCTTGGTTTCTCGGTCTTTAAGTTCATTGAGTTGGTTCTTGGCGGGGACTTCAGATTTCGTTCTTCTGCTGGTCCATTCGCTATTGAAACTTGTGCATTCGCTTCGCGGAAGTTCTCGTATTGTGGTTTTGCCTCAGCTCCTTTAATTCATTCATATTCCTCTAGTTAGTCCATTCTTGGTTATCATTCCTCAAGCTCTTTTTTCACATCTTTTCTCAAGGTTCTTAGTTTCTTTGCATTGAGTTATTTAATACCATGATCTTTAGCTTACCAAAGTTTCTCATTATCCATCTTCTGAAGTCTAATTCCGTCATTTCGTCGCAGTCATTCTCCGTCCAGCTTTGTTTCCCTTGCTGGTGAGGAGTTTTGGTCCTTTCTAGGAGGCGAGGTGTTTCTGGGGTTTCGTGTGTGTTTTCCTCCTTTTTGCGCTGGTTTCTTCCCATCTTTTGTGATTTGTGTCCGCTGGTCGTCTGCGAGTTGCTGACTTTTCGATTGGGTCTCTGGAGTGGACACCCTGAAGTTGATGATGAAGTATTTCTGTTGCTTGGGTTTTCCTTCTACCATCTAAGCCCCGTCGCTGTACAACTGCTGAGGTCCACTCCAGAACCTGCTTTTGTCTGGGTGCACCTCTAGCACTGTGGCACAGCGAGGGATGCTACCATTTCTTTTTCTGATATCTTTTGTCCCAGGATGGTGCCTGCCTAATGTCAGTCTTTTGGGATATAGAGTGGTCAGGGAGCTGCTTGAGGAGACAGTTTGTACTTTATAGGGGTTTTAATTGCTGAGCTGTGAGCTGTGTTGTTCATCAGGGCTGTTAGGCTGCTATGTTTGATTCTGCTGCAACAGAGCTCATTAAAAAAAAACCCTTTTTTTTTCTCAAATGCTCTGTGTTGCGGGTTTTGGGCTTTAGTTTTTGGATGTCCGTTGAAGGTCCTGCCCAGCTAGGATGCAGAACCTGCCACTGTTTGCCCTGCTGAGGCTCCACCCTGCTGTTGTGAGGCTCGCCCTGGGCGTCTGCTGTTCTGTTTTGTGTTCTCCACCACTGCCCTGGCGGCAGAGTCTCTCTGTTGTAGCATTGTTGCCTCGGCAACGGCTGGCTGCGTCAGCATGTGGGCGTGTATCTCAGTAGGACAGGTTTGCCTCGGCCAACTGCTGGCTGCGTCAGCAATGGCGTGTATCTCGTTGGGGCGGTTGCCTCGGTAATGGTGGCCGCCCTCCCCCTCAGAGCGTCTCGGGCGGCCGTCTTGCACGGGCTTTGTTTTGAAAATCGCGGTTTTGTTCGTCCACTGGGCCCAATCCTAACGCTCTGTTTCTGCAATCCCCTGGGCTGGCCCACTGTCCAAGTCTAGCTCAGTCACAAGTCCAGGCCCCTCTCACCGTCTGCCGGTTGCCGGTTCAATGGGGGCACCCAGGACAAGTGCGCCCTGTGGGGAGCGCTGGGTAGGCCGGCCGCCGCCCACCCCGGCTGCCGGCTTCCGCCAGCAGAATATCTGCCTGGTGTTCCCGCGTCTCCACTTCACTTGGGAATTTCCCGTTCTGTGGGCAACAAAGATCGGGTTCTGGAAATGCGCTCAGACTCACCTCTCGCAGGACAACAACGAGAACTACCTTTTGTTTCTTTTCCTCTGTGCTTTTTGCAGTTTTGAAAGTTTATTTGTCGTATCTTCAAGCTCAGAATCCTTTTCTTAGATGTGTCCCATCTACTTAATAAGCCCATTGAAGACATTCTTCATTTCTATCACCGGGGTTTTTGATATCTAGGTTTCTTTTTGATTCATTTCTTTGAGTTCCCATCTTTCCACTTACATTATCCATCTGTTGTCCTTACATGTTTGTCTCACTTTTTCATTAAAAATTCTTAGTAGCATTAATCATAGTTTAAAAAAAATTCTTCGGCCTTTCTAGCATTCTTCCATATCTGATTTTGGTTCTAATGTGTTCAGTTTTCTGCGAAAATTTGTTTTTATCCCTTTTAGTATGACTGTAATTTTTTTTGAAAGTGAGGTACTAAGTAAAACAAATTTTGGACAGGCCTTTTATTGATATGGTGGTTATGTGTCCAGGAGCCAGATGCATTTCGATAGTCCCTGTCTCTGTCTTTCAATGAGCTTCTGCTCTGGACTGTGAAGGGACTGGAGTTGATATTTGTTCCCGTCCCCCCGGCAGCTTAGGACAGCAAGTCAGGGTCTTGTAAAACAGTTTTCCCCTGATGGCAGGCCCCTGTTTAAGAAAACAGAATGCTCTAGTGTATTCAGATGCTTTTCTTTTTCCCTCCCCTTCTGGAAGCAGAAGGGGATGTTTCTCCAACAATTTACTGGGAGGCCTGGTCGGTTCTCTAGAGGTAAAACTCACACAAGCTTGGCAGTAAGAGGCACGACGGGAGTCCTCCTGGAATTTTGAACTCTTCAGACTTTGGTCCACACTAGGCCTCTAATAATTCATCAACTACAGTTTTTTTTGGGTTTTTTTTTTCCCTGCCCTG